TCATACAAATTTAATATTTTTAGCAAAACATTTATTATACCATCCAAATATGAAATAGTCTGCCCCTCTCACTTAATAACATGTCATGAACATTCCCTAAATCGACATCAGTTTTAATGGCTACACGGTATTTCCTTAGCCTTTATTTTGAACATCTGGATTATTTCTGTTTGCCATTAAACGGCCCTGTTATATACATCTTAGCACTTCTCTCTGCTTATTTCTTTAGGGATAGATTTCTAGAAGTGGAATTGTTAGAATAACACGTGCATTTTAAAGCTCCTTCCGACAGGTTTTATTGTACTTGTTTCCTTATACTCAGGATAGTGTAAAGTTTTATATTCATTTTTCTTTTCCTTTTTGGGGGAGTGTTTAAGGAACTTTCAGAACTGAGGGACTCAGTCAATCCTGCCTGCCTGCAGTCCCTGTTTGAGACCTCAACATTCCCTTTTTTTCTGGGCAGAGTGGTACCCTGAAGACAGCCCTACTCGACTACATCAAACGCTGCCGCCCTGGGGACAGTGAGAAGCACAATATGATTGCCCTGTGCTTCAGCATGTGCAGGGAGATCGGGGAGAACCATGAGGCAGCCGCCTGCATCCAACTGAAACTGATCGAGTCTCAGCCCTGGGGTGAGCAGAGGTCACAGCAAGCACCCTCAGGGAAGGTTCTTAGGACTTAGGGCAAGAGCCCATGAGATTGACTAATACCCACCTCAGCATCTAGCAGCCACTCACTGGGGCCCCAACTGGGCAGATAGGAGATGGAAGGGAACCTGAAAGGCATCTGTTGGTCTTGTGCCTCATGTATCCAGGTATCATCTGTCAGGAACCAATGTGTATGTTGATACCATGTAAACCTGCCTTGATGTTCCAGAAAGAAATGAACTAGATGGGGCACTGAATCCTACTGTAGATTTCGTGTGTTCTTGGTCCAATACCCTTTACCTGAGTGAGACATCTCCACCTCCCTGTGAACACAAGCTGGGGTATTTCTTATCTGGCTCATGATCACTGAGTGGGGTGGAGAGCAGCCAGCCTTGGCAGTCAGACACACCCACATGTTTCCTTTACTCCTCTGCAGAGGACAACCTCAAGGACGGGCACCAACTGAAACAACTGCTGCTGAAGGCCCTGACTCTGATGCTGGATGCAGCAGAGAGCTATGCCAAGGTAACCAAGGGGAGTCTTACTCCAGACTGGTTTGGGGGCTTGCTCTCTTCAGGAATTATTTTGTCCCTATGCTCTTTCAAGTGAAGGGGAAGAGAGCTATGGGCCAACTGGGGGCAGAGGGGCAAGTTCAGTTTCTGGAGGGTTCAGAGAGAGATGATGGCAACAGAATCTTTACCTGTGCCTCCCTCCACCCTGTCCCTCAGGACTCCTGTGTGCGACAGGCCCTGCACTGTCACCGGCTCACCAAGTTGCTAACACTGCAGATTCATTTTCTGAACACTGGCCGGAACACCATGCTTATCAACCTGGGCCGCCACAGGCTGATGGACTGCATCATCTCCCTGCCTCGGTTCTACCAGGTGAGAAGGAAAAAAAATCTAGCCAGCACTGCCAACATACTCTCCTGCTGTCTAATGGAAGTCAGAGATTGAGTGACTTGCTGAAGAGCTCAGAACTAGTGACAGAACCCAGGACTATTCAGTTCTCCTGATTAGCTGTGTGACATACAAATTGCCTTTCTATGGTAGTACTTCTTGCTAGCTCGTTTGGACAAAGGGTGGGGAGCGGTACGACACACTGGTAGGCCAGTAGAGAGGCAGACAGCTACGCCCCTCAGATGGTTGAGGTTCAGAGAAACATCACTGCTAGTGATCCTGCAAGCATCTCTCAGCCCCAGCATTTTACAGAATAGTGCACCCAGGTTAACACAGGGAGTCAAGGGCTTCCAGGAGCCTGTTTCTAGTCCCTTAATGAGGAGGGATGGTTTCAGAGAATCAGCCCTTTCACTGTTCCTTATACAGTTTAGTATGAAAATGTTCTTTAACAGTTTTATAAATCCACTGAAGATCAGTGTTTGGGGGTTTCAGGGAAGGGAAATGTCAAACTAACACCAAACTTTCCACCAATTCTGATATAGACAGAGCCTTTTAATATGATTGGTAACGATCACATTCACTGTGTGAGTGAGTGTACAGTGTTAAGTTTTCTACAACAATCTGCCTTTGATTTTACATTAAAAAGGCTTTAATGGTATCCTCCCTCCATCCTTTTAAGGCTTCTATCGTGGCTGAGGCCTATGACTTTGTTCCTGATTGGGCTGAAATTCTATACCAACAAGTGATTCTTAAAGGAGACTTTAATTACTTAGAAGAATTTAAGCAGCAAAGGTTATTAAGAACCAGTATATTTGAAGAGATTTCCGAAAAGTAAGTATTAAAATGCCTCTACTTTGGTTAAGGCATGGTAAAGAATTTTATGGCTAAGTATAACATGCCTATAGCCACCCCTCTGCTTGAGATGTCAAGAATGCCCAGAAAGGAGATTTTTTAAAACAAATTAATACAAACAGATGAACGAAAACACTTTATGGTATTCTGTACTTAAAATGGGAGTACAGCTACTAGCTAGCCTGAGGTGCCAAAAATTCTAAGCATCAGAGGTCCCCTTTGGTGTACTAAACTTATTCTAATTAAAGTAAGCATTAATATATTTTTAATGAAGTAATTTCAGTGTTCACCAAATGCCCCCTAATGCTAGTTAGTTTTAGATAATTTCCCAGAGTCTGTCTAGCACCACACCTTCTCTTCTGTAGGTAGTCAGCGTCAGAGCTGACAGTCCTCACTCAAGCTACATTATCTTAACCTGTACGTTCTTATGTTTGTCCAGAGTTAAACAACACCAGCCTACTGAGATGGCTGTGAAAAACCTGAAGAAGTTACTCACGTGTTGTGAAGATGTCTACCTGTATTACAAGCTGGCATACGAACATAAATTTTATGATGTTGTAAATATGCTTCTTAAGGACCCTCAGACAGGTTGCTGTCTAAAGGACATGCTAGCAGGTTAGACGGATTCTGATAACATGCGCAAGGTTACACAGGTGCCTGCTGTCTTGTCCTGAAATGAGGTACTGACAGATGTTTGTGATCACAGTAGAATAACACATTGGGGATCTTTGTTGTCCAAGTTATAAAACCCCAGAACTGATCATACCAGTCAGTCTGTTGTGAGCAGTGGATAAAGAATGAGTTTCCATAAGGAAATTCCTGTTTTAAAAGTGACTATTCCTCTGTACCATTTTATATAGATATTAGTGGTAAGATCAAAAGTTTCATCTTCCTCAGGATAGCTTTTACTTTAGGACATGATACAATATTGATTAAAGAATACCTGTGCCTACAGATTCCAGTTTCAAAGGAATTTAATATTATTTACACAGTTAAGGATAGATACACATTTCCATTAGTTAGAAACTGATCTCTATAATAAAATAGACTTTAAATTCAGTGCATGTCATTATTAACTGCTAAGAAAATCTTAGCCCTTGTCTGCCTTAAAATTATCATTATTTGCTCTTAATTATTGCTGTGTAGTTGCTGCTTTCTGTTAATTTCTCAAATCATTTGGATGGTCCTGTCTTCCACTTAGTAGCCTACAGAGCTTTGATTGAGTCTCCTCTTCATGAGAGAAACTAAAAGTATTTTTCTTCTGTCCCTACTTTTGAGTCTGTGACAGTTGTAAAAAAAGACTCTAACCACAAATTTGGCTAAAATGCTTAAAAGAAAATGTATAATAAAGATCAATCTATGCTTACAGCCATAACCTGAGTTATAAGCTCAGTTACTCCAAATAAATAATTCTAGGTGCTTAATTAGGCCTTAGTATCTAAACCACCAAACAATTTCCCCAAATAAATAAAAAGAGGAAAGCAGCCCTATACCTTTGTTGCTCTAGAGTGACAACTATTAAGGGCCTGACAAATCACTTTTGTTTTAAAGCTATTAACTACTCATCAAGCATTTAGTAAGCTTTGTAAGTATATGGAGAACTCTAGTCCCAAGAGCTGTGCTCTATACTCTCCAAAAATATCTCTTGGGAGGTAACACAAAATTTAAGTCCTCACAATAGTGATTTTATTAAATTATTTGCTTTATAAAACATTGCAGATGTCATAATTGTTAACATAACAATTTATCAAACTGTAGTTAACTGGTGCAGCTTGCTGAGCATGTTTTATAAAGGAAAGGAAATGCCAAAACCCTGTTTAAAGTTGTTCCACTGCAGCCTAGGAGAACGAAAATTTGTTTCTCAGACACTCAAATCAGGCAAATAAAACAGTGAGGGTTTCCCTCCCCCATCCAAAGCACTTCATCAGTAGAATAGTCTGATAAAACTAGACAGTCTGCATTCAAGAGATTCCACAACTTGTAATGCAATAATGGAGAGGTTTACCTTCTTCGGCTTCAAAGTCGGGGGGTTTTGGTCATTTAACTTTTCAGTATCAAACTAGTGCTTTTCAGCCGCCATATCTTCACTCTGAGATAAGCAGTCTTCTTCACAATGTATGTTTAATATCCTCACGCTCAATTTTAAGACAAAGCAATTTTAATACTAGGTGCACACCACATGCCCTCGCTGCAAACTGCTTTTCTTGATAAGTTATGAAGTAGTTCAAGGAGGTATGGTTAAGGCTGTATTACTGAACGGTGCTGGTCAATACTACACAATTTTTTGTCATGTTGCGACCCTTATTTCCAATTTAGTGACTGCTGCTATAGAATCAGATAGCAACAATGACAACATTATTAGCTTTTTGTTTGTTTTTTAAAACTATGATTTAGTAGCAACTGAAGTTCCCAATTTTAACCCCTTGGCAGCAAGATCCAAGTTCCCTCATTTGCACATTAGCACCTAAGCGTCAAGGGGTTAAATAACCAGCACAAAAGATACTGCACTTCTGATTGTAGCATTTGGCAGAACTGAAAAGAAAGGAAGTTGTGCTACATGTTGAAGGGATTGTGGGCAACAGAAAGAAGACACCAGAGGAGATAAAATGTCACATGAAATCTTCATAGTCTTGTACATATCCTCCATCATAACCACCATAATCTGCCAGATCATCTTTCATAGTGGCCTTTAATCCCCCTCCAGGAACCACACCTTTCTTCTTCTTTTTGGCTTTGCTTTGCTAAAGAAAAAAGAGTAAATTAATGAGACCTTACCTACCACATGCATCTAGTCTGGTATAACAACCCTCAAAGAGATACTAAAACTTCCAGTCCCAGACAAACTTTAGTTCTAAGGAAGATCCCATACCTAATGCAGGGCAATTTCTATTATTAATTCAGAAACTAAGACTGTGAACATGACTGTTAAAAAAAAGACAGTAGATGTCACACTCTTACTCCATTCCAATTTAAAGGGTGTTGGTGAACTGCCTGACCTTTAAGTTTCCTAGACTTGTTGAGAGCACTATGCTTGTAACGCCACCCTAATGTGACACACAGTGCTCCAGAGGGCTTGCTCTTACCTTTTCTTGCTTCTGTTTCTCACTACACAGCACAGTCAATGAATTGGTAATCTTTTTCAAGTCATCAATTTCCACTAAAAAAAAAAAGTATACCACTAATATTTAGTCATCTGGGGGAATAAGTAAAGGCAACATACACATTTTCCCCCCATGTGTTATGAGAAATCTGATTTGTCTATCATTAACTCCAATAACTTTGAAAAAGCTATGATTCTCCTGTTTTGACATAGTGAGTAAAGAATCATTCAGTCTATGGTCAGGCTTACAAATCAGAACTATTCAAAGTAAAATGGCAAACTTAGCAACAATAATTTCTTTATAATGATTCATTATCACCAAGAACTTAATGTTCAACCAAAGAGAAACTAAAAGCTAGCTCAATGTTGCACACCACCCTTCCTTACCCACCAGGTAACCATGCCCTTCCACAACACATCCCTGATGCTCAGTGAGGCGCAGCTGAATAAACATGGAATGACAATTCTTAAACCTACAGAGGATAACCACCCACCCCCAGGGTCTCCATTGTCTAAGACTGGAACTAGAAAGAAAATAGTAGGAATCTCAGCAATCTGTGTCCTCCCAGGAGACAAGACTGTTTAGAGTGGATAATATATCCTTCCATCTTTATAAAAATATAAAACTGAAAACAGACATCAGTTTTTAGCTACCAAAAAAGTGTTCAGTTTTGCTTAGAGAACACCTTCAGAAACACGGAAAATAGTATGGGTGTAAAAAGTACACCAACTATGGGTGTATCACTGATCATATAACCCTCAGCTTAGTAATAACTCCTCTAATAAAACCCAATTCAAAATCCATTATATAGAATTCCTTTTCCTCAATCTTAAAAACAGTAAATACAGTGCTAGCAAAACCAGCCACTGAAATGTGTGACTCGTCTTGGAGCCTGGAACAACACGCAGGGACAGAGAACAGGTGCCACTTCTGCTGAGCAACCTGCACCTGATCAGAGGCTTCCTTGTCTGTAAAATGAACAGACACTTGTGGTCTCAGCTCTAAAATCTTATATGCCAAAGAGCATTTTCTCCAAAAGACACTCCTAGCCCCTTTCAATATATAAATAAAAGAAGCTGCTAGTTTTTCATCAGCTGCTGTGGCAACAAATAGATGTCTCTTTGGGAAGCCACTGTAAAAACATTAAAAAGGCAGCCTCAAAAAAAATGAACAAAACCACTCAAACTAATTGCATATTTGCAGAATATTCTCATTGTAACTGTTAAAAAGCAAATCCTAAATCTATATTATAGCATCCCCATCCCCGAAAAAAGTCAACTGCCATTTTTCTGAGTCTGTCCTTACTAAAAACCACTCACAGAGCTATAGATTAGAATTACTTACATGAAATACATACATCTCGAACTAAGGCTTCCAAAAAACTGGCATAATATAGTGACTTTTCATATTGTGTAATTTTATCTTTTAGTAACTTTCCAAACTCTGTGAAGTCCTCTCTTGAAGATGGGTTCATAGCATCTATTCCATAAATTGTATTAGTAGTAATACCTGTAACACAAAGGGAGCACTGAAAATTTCAGAAAGATTTTAAAAGTTTATAAACTAATTAGGTATCTGAATAATCCTGTTATTTCATTCTAAAGCACAGATATCTTAACCTGAGACCTCTAATTTATTGTTTCCTTGTATTTTGATTACCAGCAACAAATCACAGTGGTACTAGCAAAGCCTGACAGCTACCAATAGAGATAAGATACTTTTGTATCACTTTACCGTTGTCACAGACATCTTGAAACACTGTTCACAGTCATTACTTTCAAATCACATCATCTATTAGACCTGCCCTCCTTCTTATTTAATGCATTAATAAAGAAGCATGTAATTACTGTAGCAAAAGTAATTTTAATATTTTAATATAAAAGATTGTTACGTAAATTCCTGTTTTTATCTTACACATTTAAAAGCATATTTAAAGAGTCCCACAGTAAAGTGGGGAGAGAAAGCAAAAAAAAAAGATAGTTCCTGTGAAAACATACAGCTAACTCTTGAGGCTAAGCAGGAGCAAACCATTTAAGCCCCAACAGAAACATTAATACGTCCAAAACAGGGGTGTGAAAATCATTTTCACCAGGGGCCACATCAGCCTCACAGGTGCCTTCAAAGAGCCGAATATAACTTTAGGACTGTATAAATGTAACTACTCCTTAACTAGGGGCAAGGAGTTCAGCGCTGCGCCAAGTAGAAACAAGGTGCTGGGCCAGATAAAACAAGGTGGAGGGCTGGATTCAGCCTGCGGGCCTTGTGTTTGCCACCTGTGTCCTAAAAGGATTCTAGGCAAAAGATGGTATGCTTTCATATCCTCTTCCTCAATAGGCAAGTTAAATTAGTTGTTAACAATAAATATCTCTGATTCAGTGTTTTAATATGAGAAACACAACCCTGAAATCCTATTAACTAAACAACGACTATGAATGCATGTTTTTGCCTTTTAATCTATGGGTACCACATAAACCCTTCTCTTTAATAAGCACATGGGCAGCCTTTGCCACTCTATGAAGACACAGGATACTGGCAGAGTACCCTCTATAATGAGATGAGTGCAGCTAAGATATTGCAAGCACACACCAGTGGACAGGAGCATTAAGAGCAACTCTTGAGATTACCAGTGAAAGACAAGGTCATACTTCCCATAGGAAGGAAATGATTACTACAGTCAACCTGCTTGATTCATTTTAATAGGGGTGGGGAAAAAACGAAATCCTTCTTGGTGCTAGGCTTTCATTTCAAGTTATTTAACTGTTTCAACATGACCTACTCTACAAAGTACTTAACAGGTGATGACAACAACAAACTTGGTTAAACAAAGTAAGAGCTTCTAATTTCTCGGGCCATGTTCCTTTTACCCTCTGTGCCATGTAACTCTCTTCCTGGAACACTGAATTTATCTCTTGGGTTGGCCAAAAAGTCTGCTACATTTTTTTCCCATAAAATAAAAGACATTTTTCATTTCACTAATAACTTTATTTGGGTATTTTGAGTATGCTGGCTGTCTCCCACTACTAGCTTCTAGTGGCCAGGGGTGCTACTAAATATCTTCCAGTACATAAGACAGCCTCACAGCAAAGAAATTATTTGGCCAAAATGTCAATACCAAGAAACTTCATAAACCACTTTTGACACAGTCAGTCAGTCAGTCACAGCACCTTCTCCATACACTGTACAAATCTTTTTTTTTTACATTTTAGTCGCACTTTTACCTTTCTTGAAATTATAAAGCACAGTATGCTAAAAGTGTTGCATATTTTCTTCCATCTTCAGTATTAAAATGACTGCACAAAAATTCACCAATTTTTGATTTTTTAAAAAAATTCACACTGATATGACAACTGTCATGATGCACTGTAACAAAATTATTTGCAATGAAGCTAAAAGACAACTAAACACTATCAGAACCATCCTATGGAAAAAAACATAATAGACTTTTTGGCCAACCCAATATTTACAGGATCCTGAAAATGTCTTTTATCTCATGTTCTAACCACAGCTGTAAGGAATGCAATACAGAACTGGATGCACTGTAGAGACAGGGCATGGAGAGGGCCAAGAAAGGTTGCAAAAAGAAGTTACCCTGAACAAAAGAAGGCATGGCCCAAGCTGAATGCCACCCCCTGACCACCACTCCCCTCTCCTGGGACCAGCATGCAATATTGTCTGAGCCTTATCCAGATTTAAGACAACAGGACAGCCCTACAGGCAGTTCAGTATTTAAATCTCAAAACTACAGACCTCACATTCCAGCCAAATTTCATCCAGCTGATGAATACATTTAAAAAAGTGATAGACTTTATTTGGGTCCAGTGACCTTTTATCTTAATAATCTTTTATTTGATATTCAAAACACAATCATTTAAAAATCTGACCATGTATCTCACTCTACCATAATTAAATATAAAGAGAATAAAAACTGCTTTCTAATATCTAGTTAACCAGTATATTTCTTCAAAAAAGGTGTTTTCTGAACTTTCATAACTAATAAGACTTTTACAGGGTTACTTGGAACCTCAATATTGCATTGTAATTGCACTCCCACTTACCAAAAGTTTCTTTTGCTAATTCAAGGTCTGATTCTTCCTGTAATTTCTTTAGCCTCAGTTTATCTGCTAATTGTTCTTCTGGTGTTAGCACTTTAGTTTCTTCAGGTTCTTCTAACTAAAATGAGACAGAATTGAAATTTTTAAAAGGCTGGAATCATGATAGGTGGACCCAGTACATCTATCTATACTGTGTGAGTTTATAAGCACATGTCATTAAAAATAATAGCAAACACTTATAAAGTGTTTACATACTGTATTCCAGCATTCTTCTAAACACTTTATATACCCTTATCCTAATATTACAGGAAAAAAACCCCCAAAGCATAGAGAAGTTAAGCAACCTGCCCATGGTAACAGAAGGTAACAGAGCTGGTAATGGGACAGAGCTGAGGTTTGAACCTTTTTTAAAAATAGAGTTGAACCCTGGCTGGTATGGCTCAGTGGACTGAATGTCAGTCTGCAAGCCAAAAGGTCACTGGTTCAAATTCTCAGTCGGGACACATGCCTGGGTTGCAGGACAGAGACCCCAGTGAGGGGCACACAAGAGGCAACCACATATTGATGTTTTTCTCCCTCTCTGTCTCCCTCCCTTTCCCTCTCTCTAAAAATAAAAATAATAGTAAAAATTGAACAGAAATAAAGAATTAAAACTGTAAACAAGGTGAAATGGCACTCTCACACACTGCTGCTAACACTGTATATTGAAACAACTTTCCAAGGGAGCAACTTTGTAATGTATCAAGCCTTAAAATATTTTTACATGCTTTACTCAACTAATTCCACTTCTAGATATTTATATTAAGAAACTAAAGATGCACACAAGTTTTAACCACAATGATGTTCAGAGGAGTATTATTTATAATTTCAAATAAGTTTAGAGATAATCTGAATGTTCAACAACAGAATGGTTAAATAAAGTATGGCATACCCATGACATTATGCATACATTAAAAAAAACATGTTTTCCCCTTGAAGAATCAGAAAATATTTCTCCCTTATTTATATCATGTTACTCTGTACTATTAAAAATATAACACATTATCATTATAAAATTTAAAACACAACAGAACTGGTCACTTATTTCCCAATTGTACTCCTCTGGGATGATGGGTAACAGATAAATGCATATCATTTCTATATAATGTGATAAAATTTTGTACAACACATTGCTTTTACTATGAGGGGAAATCTTAAATAATATTTATCAAAATGGGAAAAAGCAAAAGGAATTTGTGCCATTCATAACTATCCATGCCTATCCAGTTTGAAAATTTTAATTCAAAAGTCCACTTCTGTAACAGACCATGTTATTTCTCATGGATAAGATAAAATGAGAAAGTTTTTATGCCACGTTAGATAATCTCAGAATACTTTCTAGAAAGAAAAAATATCTTGACTTAACAGTCCAATAGTTAAGTCTGGACATCAAGTATTTCTTGCATCAAAAATACATATATCTGACCTGCCAAGATGGAGGTGTAGGTGGAAACACTGTGCCTTCTCACACAACCAAGTTTAAAAACAACAAAGTTTTAGCAACAAAACCGCAGCCAAACCACAGAAAATTGAACTACACGGAAGTCTGACAACAAAGCTTCCAGCCAGACCCGTAAGAGGGGCAGAGCCAGCAGCGGAACAGGTTCGGGCAGGAAAGATCCACCAGACGGACCCAGGCTCGCAGGCAGCCGTGGGCGGATCCCAGGTAGCAACTGGAGTAGCAACAGGTGGACCCACTGAGGGAGCAAGGAGGCACGCTGACCACGGTCAAACATTCGTGCACAGACAAATCAGGCAAAGGAGCGAGCAGTGAGACAGACCATGGAGGCCCCAGCTGCGGGAAGCAGCAGAGGAGACCACCATTGCCCCTCTTTGACCCCGCCCCCACATACAGTGCCACAACCCAGCAACCTGGGTGGCCCCGCCCTGGTGAACACCGAAAGTGCCCCTCCTCATACGTAACAGGCCCAAACAGACCAAAACATGGCTCAAGAAGAACTCAAAGCCCCAGAGCTGATAAATCTAAGTGAACAAATTGCCAACCTATCAGATGCACAGTTCAAAACACTGGTCATCAGGATGCTCACAAAACTGGTTGATTTTACTCACAAATGAGACGAACATATGAAGGCTAAACTAATTGAAATGAAGGGAAAGGCACAGGAAACCCATAGTGATGGAAAGAAAACTGGGACTCAAATCAAGGGAGTGGACCAGAAGGAAGAAAAAAATGACCAAACAGAAAAATATGAAGAAACAAGAACTCGAAATAATGAGGAGAGGAAAAGGAACCTCCAGGACATCTTTAAATGCTCCAACATCCGAATTATAGGGGTACCAGAAGGGGAAGAGGGACGGCCACAAGTGGAAAAATTATTTGAACAAATAAGAAAGGAGAATTTCCCCAAGCTGGCAAAGGCAATAGACTCCCAGGACATCCAGGAAGCACAAAGAGTCCCAAAGAAGTTGGACCCAAGAAGGAACACACCAAGGCACATCATCATTACATTAGCCAAGATTAAAAAGGAGAGAATCCTAGAACCAGCAAGAGCTAAGGGGACAGTCACCTACAAAGGAGTTCCCATCAGACTATCAGCAGATGTCTCAAAAGAGACATTACAGGCAAGAAGGGGCTGAAAAGAGGTATTCCAAGTCATGAAAGCCAAAGACCTACAACCAAGATTGCTCTATCCAGCAAAACTTTCATTTAGAATGGAAGGACAGATAAAGTGCTTCTCAGATAAGATCAAATTCAAGGAGTTCATCATCACCAAGCCCTTATTATATGCAATGCTAAAGGGACTTATCTAAGAAAAAGAAGATAAAAAAGGGAGAAGATACAGAAAATAAGTAGCATAAACAGTAGGTAGCTGTTAACAACAAATTCTTCAGCCTGACCAGTAAGGGGCGAAACCAGTGGCTGGTGAAGCGGGGTTGCACAGGAGGACTCGGTCAGACGGACTCAGGCACGCGGAATCCAGACACTCGGAATCCAGGCGCAGGGTTGGACCTAGTGAGCGACCGAGCGATCCACTAGGCCAGCGACCGCAGGGGAGACAGCGGGGCAGCGGGCTGCGTGTTGACTGTGGTCGCGCATTTGTGGGCGGGTAGACAGGCGAGGGAGTGGGCGGTTGGACCGGGCCCGGTGGGTCCCCGCGGCAAGCAGCAGGGAGGGCGCCGCCATTTCCCTGCTCTGACCCCACCTCCACATACAAGCGTCATAACCCAGCGACTCTGAGTGGCCCGGCCCAGGTGAACCACCTAAGGCGCTGCTCCTCACCCAGCTGTGAGAAACAGCAGAGGGGATCGCCATTTCCCCGCTCTGACCACGCCCCCACATACAGCGTCACAACCCAGCAACCTGGGAATCCAAGGCGCCACTGCTCACACTTAAAGGGCCAGAACAGACCAAAAATGGTGCAAGAAGATCTCAAAGCCCCAGAGCCTATAGATCTAAGCGATGAAGAAACAGCAAAACTCTCAAGACGCACAGTTTAAAACACTGGTGATCAGGATCCTCACAGAACTGGTTGATTATAGCCACAAATTAGACAAATATATGAAGGCGAAACTAATTGAAATGAATGGAATTGCACAGGACACCAATAGCAATGAAAAGGAAACTGGGACTCAAATCAATGCAGTGGACCAGAAGAAAGCAAATAATGGCCAAACAGAAAAGAGTCAAGAAGCAAGAATTCAAAGAAATGAGGAGAGGCTTAGGAACCTCCAGGACATCTTTAAACTCTCCAATATCCGAATTATAGGGGTACCAGAAGGGGGAAAGGCACAGCCACCAGTGGAAAACTTATTTGAACAAATAATAAAGGAGAATTTCCCCAATCTGGCAAAGGAAATAGACTTCCAGGAAATCCAGGAAGCTCAGAGAGTACCAAAGAAGTTGGACCCAAGAAGGAACACACCAAGGCACATCATCATTACATTAGCAAAAATTAAAATGAAGGAGAGAATCCTAGAAGCAGCAAGAGATAAGAGGACAGTCACCTACAAGGGAGTCCCCATCAGACTGTCAGCAGATTTCTCAAAAGAGACCTTCCAGGCAAGAAGGGGCTGGAAAGAGGTATTCCAAGTCATGAAATCCAAAGACCTACAACCAAGATTGCTCTATCCAGCAAAACTTTCATTTAGAATGGAAGGACAGATAAAGTGCTTCTCAGATAAGATCAAATTCAAGGAGTTCATCATCACCAAGCCCTTATTATATGAAATGTTAAAGGGACTTATCTAAGAAAAAGAAGTGAAAGAAACATGAACAGTGAAAGGACAACAAACTCACAGTTATTAAGAACCACACCTAAAACGAAAGCAAACTTAAAGGACAGCTAGATCAGGAGTGGAAACATAGAAATGAAGATCTCAAGGAGGGTTAGCAACAGGGGAGTGGGAGGAGGAGAAGGGGGGAGAAGGTACAGAAAATAAGTAGCATAGACAGTAGATAGAAAATAGATGGGGGGCAAGAATAGCATGGGAAATATAGAATCTAAAGGACTTGAGACACATGGTCATAAACTAAAGGGGAAGGGTAGGGATGGGGGGGTAGGGTGGAGGGGAATGAAAGGGGGAATAGAACAACTGTAAGCATAATCAATAAAAAAATTAAAAAAAATAAAAAGGGGGAATGATGGGGGAGGAGTGTGCAGGGTGGAGGGGAATGAAGGGGGAATAGAACAATTAATGGCATAATCAATAAAATATATATATTTAAATCTTAATATTTGGGCTAAAATAAATTGAGTATACTCAAACTAAGGTTTATGTTAAGACACTAATATTAAGACACAACAAAATACAAAATAAGTATAATCCTAATTTTAATGACCAAAAAAGATCCAATCAACAGAACTTTTTTTTTTAAATCCTCAGCGGAGGACATGCTCATTGATTTTAGAGGGGGAAGGGCAGGAGAGAGAAAGGGAGAGGAACACTGATGTGAGACAGAAACATTGATCAGTTGACTCTCACATGCACCCAAACTGAGGATTGAACCCACAACTTAGGCATGTACCCTGACCAGGAATCAAACCTGCATTCCTTAGGTTTACAAGACAACACTCCAACCAACTGACCCACACTGGCCAGAGCCAATCACTGGAACTT